GTGATAGATCTAGGAGGAACAACCAATATTTTATAAATCCGTAGAGAGACAACAGATGAAAACTTTAGTTGGTGAACAAAATGACACAGGACAGAAGAAACTATTTTAATTATACGTTTCAATAAAGTAACGAATAATTCTACCCTTGGAGATTAATCCCTCGTGAAGATCTTGGACACGAATTGGGGATGTACCCCGCCCCCCTCCCCAACCTCAATACAAGGTGAATTCTGTACATAGTATCAGTTTTGACATTTTGATTTATTTAATTAATAGTGTAATCGTAACTGTTTTAGATACAATGCGCGCATTATTATAGGGACATTGAAGATTGTCAATCCATTTTTGATAATGAGAATACCACAACGATCATTGTTAATTTAATGAACACAGACGCCACGGCCAGTGGAAAAACTGGGAAAACGTTTAACGACCGACTTAGTGGGAATACTACTCACAAATAAACGTAATTCAGGTGCGAACAAGGACTGTGCATTGCCAATGAAAATTATTTTATTCCACTTCATTGTAGATTATTTGTTTCTCTGAACACAGTTGTACTGTGTATTACTGACTGGAGTTTTACGGAGTGGTGTACTCCTAATTTTCCTTTTCGCGTTCATGGTAGACTTTATGCAGCACAGCATTTGTAGCTTTCCGTGTTCAAATTGTGCTATTTCACCCATCTTTCTTTGGGTGAATGATAGGAGGAAACTTTCAAGTATATATATATATATATATATATATGAGCTCTTGAAAAGTAGTCAACCATCCACTGACTCAAAATACGACTCAGATAAAAAAAATTATTTGTTTTTGTTTTGTTTGTCAACTATACTTTCTCCCTCTCCAGGGTCTAGTAACGTCCACTTGCCGATCCCTCCAGGGTGCTTTTGTGTAGTCCCCAAATATTGTATTGAAAATTACGAAGTGCTTGAAGTCCCTGATCTGCTAAAACCACAAAGCTCGACAATGTCATTATTATATGGCCTTCAATAAGTTTACAAACCGGATTGACCAGTAGGCCATTCCTGGATTTGTCGATCTCCCCATCATATCATGCAATAGCCAAATGGTTAGCGCGACTGCCAAACCGGATCGGATCTCGGATTACATTCTGAAGGACACGTTCGAATTCGTCGAACGGATTAAAAACATAAATATCTCATCACAAACGCTGCACTCTCTAGGTGTGACTTCTCTATTCACGAATGTCCCATTTCCAGGGACTGTTGAGTTTCTATCCGAATTCTTAGCGGATTAGCAACTGGAAATAAGGATACCACTTCCCAGTCTAAAAGAGCTTCTGCTTCGGTTCTTCGGCATTCGGGTCCTCTTCAGTGGTCGAACCCACCAACAGACGGATGGTGTCACAATGGAATCTCCCCTGTTACCATTGTCCGCAGACATGAGGAAACTCGAGAGTACAAAGCACCATCCACAACTTTAGTGTGTGCTATCGAAACGTGGACGATTATTTTTTTATAACAAACCAAACNCCCATCATTGATGCTGTGCTGGAGACATCCAACACAAGCCACAACTCCATTAAATTCACCATCGAGAGAGAGAGAAAAACGATCGAATCAAACTCCTGCATGTCTTACTAATCCGAAAGCCAGATGAAACCATCCGAAGAGGAATATACAAAAAAAACAACGTGGACGGGACAATATATGAATTTCCGTAGCTTTGCGCCATTGAAACGAGAGAGAAATGTGGTGCGATACCTTGGTGTTAGAGCACGGAAAATTTGCTATTTCAATGCCGTAGTCGAAGAACTTGAACACACCAAATAATTTCTTCATGGGAAAGGTATCCTGGATGGCTTCTTAGATAAACATTCAGCAAAGGTACCCGCGCGACCGCTAGTGCACACCGCCAACAGGAAACCACTCCGTTTGCAACTACTGTTCAAAAGTGATTATACACGCTGAGTGGCTTACACGATGAATCAATGAAGCGTTTCGTCAAACGTTTACAACAACTAATCCGCGCATGAATTTCATTGCGTCCTCAGCAATATGGTGTCCCTTCAAAAATGAATCACCATCCCAAGCCACAAAAATCTACCTTTACGCGTTCGCTGGCTCCTGTGAAGCGAGCTTCATTGGCTGAACCACCAGGTAGCTATCAAAGAAGATACGCGAACGCCACCCCCGCTGATGGAGACACGGTGAAACTAGGACGGCAAAAAGTGCTATCTGTAGACGCATACTGAAGACACGGCACACTATTAATGTCAATCAAGCTTTGCGCATCGATTATCATACGCCGTCATCCCTGCCCAGATGATTTCGGTTCATCATTCTATGCACAGCCGAAAAGGTGATCGCTATCCCACCATTCGTTCCCCCCCAGTGCAACCAAAAGCAGTTCGTTCGGGCTCTAGCCTTCTCATGGTCCCGCATGAACAAACTCATCCCATCCCGGAGGATGCATCAATGATCTATTTGAGACGAGGATCAGGTAAACCATTTCAGCTTTCTTTTTATACTTAGTTTGATGCGATCGAAACCAGATCGATGAACCCAAATAACCCTGTATAATTGTAATGGTCAGTTGACGAATTTATCGAAAACCAGCTTGTTTCGTCTACCGGGCTTTGTTTTTAACGTGGTAACGGGCATTTTTCAAAAACTGAAATATCGTCCTCCTCCCGGTTGACTCTTTTAGCAGATTTGACTTCTGACCCGGTGCAATCGAAGCTGATTTTACCGCTGAAACGAAACACCATCGTATAGTATCATCTTGTGCTTCTGTCAGGCTTTCCTCTAAATTTTCGGTGCACAGTTCTTGTGGAAACCACTCGTCCAAGCTCCATTCTAATCACCTTTGTAGTGATTTTTTGTTGGATGCACAAGGTATAATCTGGCCCCTTACTCTTCCACTAAAAGTGCTCAGGTACCCGCATTCTTTAACAGATATGCTAAAACCGGATCAGTGAACCATCGTCGGTTTTTAACATTTGTGCAGACCTTATGCGGATTAGAAAGTTTCTAAAGGTCAACATCTTTTTAACTGTATGTTTGGTAAGTTGCTACCGTTTCACTGCAAAAAGTCAAACACCGATTCCTCCAGGGAAGCGGTGCTGAACGAGAGCGCTTCGATGGATTAATGTTTGTGCCTCACCACAGCCGAGGAAATGCATTTTCGTGGCGATCTACATACCACTTTTTCATCCTTCTTATAAGTAGGTCGCGATGTGTATCCATTGAAGTTACTGGGACTTGAGCGTAGGCGAAAGAGGCTGCTAATCTGATTTCGTTAACCACTTCGGCTATCCTGTCTGGTTATCAGAAGCTACCTAGAAAACAATACTTTATGATCCAACGCTCGTTCATCAGTGCCGTTGAAGATTTTGGACATTACCAGACAGTGATTGAATTTCTCGGACACGAACTCTTTAACAGTGAGTCAGAATTTCTTCATGTGAAATGATTTAGATATACCCATTATTCAAAAGGTCCCACGGAGCTCATAATGAGAACACAAATTGGCAAACAAGCTCGTTTTCAGTGTGTCTTAATCATGCCATTACAACACAATAAATATGACTAGTATCAAAGAAGGATTTACAAGGAAAAAGAGAGGGAAAGTAATTAAAGTATTCAAGAGTTTGTTTCATAATTGGTCCCCAATTATCACTTGCTCCGATGTTGCATAACAAGTCACTTGTCTGCGATCCGGCCATGGGAGCTTGAGTGCTTAGCCTCAAGGATACAACCGGTCTCATTGACGCCTTGAGTGGTTTAAACATCAAAGATCGCCACATGTTTTCGCTAGATGTCACATCTCTGTTCACGAATGTTCCGATCGGTGAAACAATTGATTATTTATGCACCTATATCGAAAGTAACGGAATTGACGTAAGCCTACCAACAGATGACCTTAAATAATTGTTATTCTTCTATACTCACAATGTGCAATTCAAATTCAATGAGGAAATCTATCGCCAGAAGGACGGTGTAGCAATGGAATCTCCTCTAGGGCCCTTGTTTGCTGATGTGTTCATGTCTAAAATAGAAAACGATCCACTTAAAACACATATCAAACAATGCGTACTGTACAAACGTTACGTAGACGATATTTTGTACGTTGTCGATTCGACAACGGAATGTCAAAATATACTAGATCATTTCAATGCTACGCATCGAAATTTGAAATTCACGATTGAAAATGAAGCAAACAATCAACTAGCATATTTAGATGTCTGCCTAACTCGCTGTGATGACGGATCCATTAGGCGGTCAGTACACAGGAAGGCGACTTGGAATGGGCAGTACATTCATTTCCGTAGCTTTGTACCACTCAGTATGAAGAAGAATCTCATAATTTGTTTGGTCAGTAGAGCTAGAAAAATTTGCCCGCAGGACATGCTGGTTGAAGAACTCCAAAATGTGCGCAATATCTTCATCCAGAATGGATATCTAGAGCGTTTGGTGGAATCTGTGATGCAAAGGCAAGAGGTATTTCCCAAAAGGGAAATTGCTGAGAAGAAGTCTGTATATATTTCTTTACCGTTTAAAGATGACACCTTGGCAGAGATTGTGCATAGAAGGTTATCAAATGCCATCAACAAAACGTTCTACGCGGCTAAGCTTCAAACTCGATTCGCATCTAGCCCGCTGGTGTATTTACGGTTGAAGGATAGAGTGCCTGATGTTTAAACCACTCAAGGCGTCAATGAGACCGGTTGTATCCTTGAGGCTAAGCACTCAAGCTCCCATGGCCGGATCGCAGACAAGTGACTTGTTATGCAACATCGGAGCAAGTGATAATTGGGGACCAATTATGAAACAAACTCTTGAATACTTTAATTACTTTCCCTCTCTTTTTCCTTGTAAATCCTTCTTTGATACTAGTCATATTTATTGTGTTGTAATGGCATGATTAAGACACACTGAAAACGAGCTTGTTTGCCAATTTGTGTTCTCATACCCATTATTATCATCATCCATTGTTACACTTAGTGAGTAATTCTGTTTTCGAGTAACTTCCTATTCAATCTTCGCTATCAATAATATTGCAGAGACCCACCACATTTTGCGGCTCCCATTGAATGTTGCTTCTAGGGTGAAACTGTGGGTGAGATTGAATTCGCGCCAGAATACGACACGACCGGTAGCTTCTTTACTCGGATGGATTGAGAAACGACAGGAGGACAGTGAGAAACTGTCTGGAGCCTGAAAAATGAAGTAAACAGAACGAAGGACTATAGGCTTATGCTACATCACCAAGCGCATCAATATTAAACACCTGTGTATTTGTAAAGAAACTTGAAGCAAAGGATGACACATGTTTCGATTATTATTGAACCAGTTTTTACTTTCGGTGTTAGCAAGAAATATTTAAACTTATCCAAATTGATACTTTCTCCAAAGTAAAAAGAAACTTTTTGACCAATTTAGCAAATGCGAACAGTACGTCAGTACAATTTTATTACATGGGTGTCATATCACATTAAAAGAATACTAAAAGAAATAGAGAATAAAAATTATTATAAGAATAAAATCAATAAATAAAATAAAGAACATTATGAATCACCTACGGAGATGAAATTCATATGCCAAGGCAGGATATCTCAGGATAGCTCTGGAAAACTTTGGATGCAATGCGCATGAGACGAAAGCAATCCATGGTTTATATTCACCAAATCCACCTTGATCAAATCGGTTTATCAGTCCGATGTGTTATTTTCTTAGGCTTCCTAGAGCTCTGTTAGAGAAGTGCAACAGTGGCAAAGACAGATCCGTATTTTTCGGTACTTCTCTTCAGGCCAATACGGTACACACAGTCGAACACGCAGACATCACAGCGGAATAATCCATTGACCTTAGGCCAAGACAGAAGTAAATATTTGACAAACTGTTTTTATGATCACAGCATTCATCGACCGCTTCTGCTGTGGACAGGATTCAGTGTCTTCCCCTTTTGATTGATTATCAGCTATGCGGTGGATGACCTTAAATGCCCTCATTCGTGTCGGTTCGTGAGCCCCGTCGAGTGTGGGGGATAGAATGACACTGGTCGCATTTTTATTGAAATCTTTTGATAGCCAAGCTGGACAGTAATCTTAAATACTCTCCGATAGACGCTTGGTTGTCCTTGCTGCACATTCCGCTCCACAGAAGCACAAATAAGAGTACACAAAATCGACCTCATTTTGTAAGTACTTTGATTTCTGCCCCCGTCGAGCGGAATATTTAGGAAGGACGACTGGGTCTGGGTCGACTGTGGAACAATCACCCGAGTGGATTCATCCAGACACAATTCGAAATACCAACCATAACATTAACCACAATGACACGTGTTCTATGGATCACTTCGCTATGATTTGTCTACATGCTCCATTGTTTAGCTGTTGGCCGGATGAGAATAACCGAAAAGATTCGGATTTGTCTTTGTCGCTTACAGACTACTTTGACAAAACTATGGGAGAGCCCTAGCGCTTGCACAAGACGTTTTTGGGGCAAACAAAGGAGGATTGTGCAAACTGACTGCGACCGCTTCTGCAGTGGCTATCATCTGTCAGTTAACCTCCCTTGATAGTGGTCGACAAACAGAGTGCGGAATGCCTAGGTCACGATCAGGATACTATTCGTTTCATCTGGGTGTGAAACCACTGTATTGGTGAATGACTTAATCGTTCCGGTGTTCTGCCACCCATATTGGTGTTCACGAATCACCTGGCCGTGCGGACAATGTACTTTTGTTCAATATGGCAGAGTAAATGAGTATGTAAGAGTAGTGGAGGAAATTAATTCATAGGAGAATTCGTCGTAAACAGAGCAAATTAAACACGAACGTAAAAGCTAGAAAGCACTGGAAATCTGTTTCGACCTGATTGAATCTTATCAGCAGTGCGAATCTATCGACCTAACTAGGGATGGATCCCAGGACCTCACAGGTACAACGAATGCATACCACCCACTCGGCCAACGGGCAACTGATCAGACCGTTACTCATTTTCATTGTACACGATATACCACCACCCATCTTTTTGAGCTTGCTGCGGTCAACGGACCTCACTCACCTCCGCACTAGCCTCCGAGGTTAAAACTCGGTTGGAAACATCCCAACCAGACTACTTGTTACATGAGAGTATCAGAAGATTAGATTCAACAAGCTTGCAAAGACGGGTTATGCTATTATGTATGACAAAAATGAAGAACGGTCCGACCAGATGTCCGGTGGCCGAGTAGTTAGCATGCTTGCGTTCTGCCTGTGAGGTTTTGGGTTCGATCCCCAGTTGATTCGATGGATTCTCACTGCTGATGAAACTCAACCAAGTCGAAACAACTGTCCAGTGTTTCATAGCTTTTCGGTTTATTTTTCATTTGCTCCTGTGAATCTAAATGAGTATACACGGGATGAGACAGCAGAGTAGGACACTTTGTCATTCTACCGCAAGCACATGATTGGCTTGAGCATGTACAACATATGAAGCTTTATTGTAGAGCAAATCTTATCGATGCAGTTGGATAATTTCTTTTGAATTACCTCGGCCGATGTGTACCCTGAGCGGTCTTTTTCTTAGCCTCGGTACTGTCTACCATAGGCTCCGTGTGCATAATCATCTTCTTAATTAAGTGATCTGGATACCCAGTGCGCGCAAAGATGACTCTGAGATACCGAAGCTCTCGGTCCTCGCTGCAAATCTTCCGTGCCCTCTTCCCTACGTAACAAACCAAATTCTTTTTTGTCTCCAAGGCCACAATACTCTGGAATTGAGATATTGCTCATTTTAAGTTGTCTTGCTATGCATCAAGCCATCATCTGATCGACGAACGATACGACAATGAAACGAAAATTTGTTGTTATTTTCTACATCCGACCTGAATAGTATATCTTACTGGTTAACAGTGAACTTGCTCCATAATTCGATCGGATCCGACATTACTTTGATCGCAAAGAAGAACGTTTTACGCACGTATCATGTATACAGTACTGGAAATAAACAAAAAATAATTTGAGCGGTTGTGTCCAAGTGGTAAATGTTTGAAACGCCCCACCGCTGTCCATCATCCTCATTTCTGTACTTTCCTTCTTATGGCGGCAGCCCCTTCCTGAAAGTTGATTGGACATTGGTAAACTCGATGAACAAAAAAGAAGTTGAAAAATATTTTTAAATAATATTCGAAATTTTGTTCCAGTTGTCTTCGTGCAAACACACAACAAGATCTGTATGTATTATTTTGCATGGACAATTTGATAGTATGAGGGAAGTGATAAAATCCGTAAGACTGAATCAGACACCGAACCACATATGCTTTTGTCCGTGAATTATCTTCAAAAATAAAAGAAAGTTTCAGATATTTGGAACCACATGATCAAAAAATCATTTCCGAACCAATACATTCATGCTGACTTATTTCGGTTTCCTAAACCGAACGTATGCGGTTCGAGTTCCTTTAGTAGGGTAAACAGTACGTACTGTTGTCGTTTCTCAACAAAACCGGGACAACTGTTTCCTACTCTTTGCCCCTTACTAAGGAGTTCCGTTTTAGATCAAATTATAGTGAAATCAATTTACAATATTCCATTAAACGTTCTACATCTCAGCTTGTTTCACTGATTGACATCGTGCACCTATCGAACTTCCCAAAGACAATAGCGTAGACACAATTGTTTTGCATAAATGCAGTCTAAGGGGAGATACACAGGGGGATACACATCGCAATCATATCTAAGTATATGAGTCTGAAAGTCAAAAGTTGCTTCAGTATACCTGTTCAGCCAGTAAATACGGCAGAAGTCGTTCGCGTAAATAATAAAGCGAAGTTTCATAGGTTCCACTTTGATACAATCCAAGGGTTTTCGACTGTCTGTGAGACGGATCGCATCCATACATGAACACATCATTCTGTCTGCTGTGTCCATGAAGATCACAGTAGATGACATCCTTTAAGAAGAAGAAGAACAACAACAACAACAACAAGAAAAAGTACATTTTATTCAGGGGAGTTACTACGTGGTAGACAAACTACAAAATGTACACTGACGATTTTATTCAATGTCAATCGTTTAATTAAAACCAATTGTTATACTGGAAGAACCGATATTCACATGCAATCAAGTGGAAATGTTAAAAGGTTTGGAGATAGTTGGGGTTCAAACCTGCTTTTTTGCACAGCTATTGATGATGGCCTTTTCATCATAAAATTGCTTCTTACACAGAATAACTTGACCGGTGTCAGCCAAAACGAACAAAAACAAAATATGAGAATTGAAAGTAATACTTTAACGCTAATAAAAGACCATTCTCAAACGGTTTTCTTGCATAGTCCATTAAACTTCACAGACACCAGAATCTGTGTAGTTGTTCTCTTGTGGATGGCATTCCTTGCCGTTCACTTGGATTCTCACAGGATGATGCAGTCCATCCGCGTTGGATAGTGTTTGTTTTTTCATCTAGTTTTACTACTACTGAGCGAAGAGCTTTTGACGTTTCCCGAAAGAAAAACACGCTATTGTAGATGAGAACCTAATAAGAAAGTCGTGCGAAGGACACTATGATATTCTTCGTTATTCATTTAGTACAGTAACTGTCACGCTTTGTTTCTGTTATGCCTTCCACATCTTATGTTGTTTGTATGAAATTCGCATCAACAACATGAAGTGGAACGGGAACGTTTGCAAGCTTATGGAAATATTCTCCAGTCAGAAAATGCACACACCGGCTAGTCTTTCTCGAGTGTCGTCTTTTAATAGAAGTCTGATTCAACATCGATCATTCTTTCGAACTGGGGACCGAAAAGGAAGCCTAAAGACTTGAAATGTCGAATTAAGTAAGGCCCCAAAAACACGTGCGGTATCAAGCCAGGCGATCGCGAATATGCCCATCACCAAGAATAGCTGACGGTGGCAGGGTTCAAATCCCGGAACCAAGAGCCAGTAGCAACCCAAACCGCCCGACCACTAGCGCCCTTCATAAACTTCTCCATCGATTTATTGGAGTAAAATTGCGACCATTACTTCTTCACCAAAATGTTTACAATGCAAGTAAATACCGGGACTGGAATCCATGAATGAAAACTGAGAATCAATGCACTGCCGTGAAGCGAACATACCTGGCACGCATCTTTACATGACTGAACCAGTTGACGCACATGCCACACGGTTGGGAACACCTCTTTCCGCGGATGACGGTAGTTTCGGTTCAGATCACGACCGCTTAAAGAACATCTAAGGAGAGAGAGAGAGAGAAAACAATACAATACGATGTTTTAAAGCCGATCTTCCGAATTTTGCACGTAAATATACACCTTTAGATGATTTATTTAATTATCTTGTTGTAAGGGGTCAAAGTCCCTGTTGTGTTTTAATAAAACAGTTTGGATGAAAAAAATACTCTAAATGGCGTTTCAAATACTGTACTCTTCAAGACCTGTGCTTATATGATGTTATTGTTTGTAGGAATTGACCTCAACGAAGCGGAAAAGCCGCTTACAAAACTGAGAGTTTAGGGCTTAGTCAAGCATACGTTTTCGGAGATTTTCTCCTCGAATTTGTACGTTAAATTTCTCCACAGGGTTGAGAAACCCAGTATCATCAAAACATGTATATGGAACTTTGTAAAGGAATAATATTGGTGCCTACGATTTTTTAGTGAAGGGATTAACACAATTTTAATACTCGGGACGTAGATCAACAGGGTATAAAATGAATGAATGTTGCGAATGACACATTTCGATCGAAGTGAAACATTGCTGAGTGTAACAACCGATTGTAACGGCTATACTTCCGTCTATACCCAACGTGCACCTGCTTGAACTCAAAGGAATTTCTAACTAAACTTATCGACACGTAAGCAATTCCGACAGACACTCATCTTCCATCGTGAGTGAGTGAATTGTATACTTTTGACTGGATTGGTGAGTAACCCATGAGTAATCACACCTACAGAACGAGCCAGCAGGAAAAGTTCACAGACACTACCAATCAATGTACGGAGCCATCACGCTGTGTTAAACAACCTTAGAATGTTTTACAAACCCCTTACGGTCATTGAATACGCAGATACATGGTTATATTCTCCTGATCTATTTCTCTCATCTGCGTGCCTTGGGAAGACTTGTGATTTCATCGTTTTGGCCGCGCCAAAAACATGTACAAACCAAATGAATTGCTAGTATTCTGATTATCAGAAAAATTACCTCAGTTTACAGTCTCTGCTTGATCGTAAGTCTTCATTCAAGCTAGAATTATGTGGTATCCGAAGTGGATAGATAATAGCATTGCTTATTAATATTGATCATGCATGTTGATAAATCATTTGCTTTATTGGCATACAGATCTGCGAAATATTCAATACGAAAGGAATCAATTTCAGGGGCCATCCACTGAAGCCGCTGCTGAATGAAACAGAGCTCAATATACTTTGGGTATCAGTTTGTGGATTAGATAATCCCAACAATGATGATGAGTACTAGGAATGTTACGTGGTCAGCATTTTTGCCAGTAGTTTTGTCCAACATACTATACTACTTACAAGTAATTGTGAAATTAATCGTGAATGTCTTTTACTGAACGTTTCACAATTAAATCTGCCAAACAACAATCTGAACAACCAACCTTGCCTTAGAAGCTCATTCGGTGCACCCCGGTGAATCCTAAGGAGAACCTGTCCGGGAAGTCAGCTTACATGTTAACTAGTGGGTGCCATATGACTCTGTAAGTTGGATGGGTAAATTGGAATGTGAAAAGATCAGTGCAATCGGTGTGGCCTCGTAGCTCAGATGGTAGAGCGTGCGTTGTACAAAAGCGTAGGCGGTGTCCATGCACGGATTCGAATTCCACCAAGGCTACTCAACTTTGCACAATCGACATAATAACTTCAATTCTGCCAAATAACAATCGGAATAATCGTGAATTAGAAATCAATCATAACAGGTTAATTTGAGATATCTAGCATGAATCTTGCATGAACGACCTCATTGGGTGGAAGTCTGTGGATCGAACTCAGCAGAGCGGCCATCTAAAGCTGTTAGCCTCATTACAAAGTGCGTCCTTCTGAATGCGGAATGCGAATCAAATTATCTGAGATCAGGCCATATTTTTCTAAGAACGTCTTACATAAGGGAAGTCCGGTGTATATGCAAAACGGATAACGGGCAAATCAAGTCTGTTGCTTCTTGAATGTAAAGTTAACTAAATGAAGAGGTTATTTATGTATATGTAGACGAATCTTAACCGTGGTCAGTGTTCACCACACATGGAACTAGCTTTCATTTCTTGCAGTGACTCCCTTCGAGTTAGGTCTGGGTGAACCTCTAAGGAATATCTAACTTTTGGTCCCTCAGGAATGAACGTGAATAAAAATCAGATTTATCTGCGCAATTATTCGAGCCCACAGTGCAGAAAGCCCTTCGGGTTTGTAAAGCTTAGTGATTTCACCCGTAATACATTTGACTTTGACTTAAAAATCGTTCCATGCATGAATATTTCACTGACAACTACCGTTCACTGCTGTAGTGTCATGTCATCAATTATTCTTAACTTCGATAACGGTGGCAAATTTGCTGTTCGGTCCCAGTTAGATGTTTATATATGGATCTATTTGATCTTTAAAATTTTATCAGTGCACCTTGATGGTTCAACTTTAATTCGCTCATTGGATAAAAATATCCTAACGAGAGTGAGCTTGTCTTGTGTTGTATGGTACACCATCTTTACTTTTACTAGAATTTAGTCCTGTCAATGAAAGAAAGACAGGGTTTGACTTCGGCAAAGTAAAGGCCCCATTTTCTCACCTGTAATTGCCAAGAATTACTCCGTCCGGATTGAGCATCGGTACAAGACAAAAGATGCATCGTCGGCGTAATTCCTGCACTTCCGGCTCGAGACTAATCAGCTGTTGCATCAAGCCAAGCATCATCCAGCTAGAGTTGGATTCACCCGGATGTACCCGGGCACTGATAACCACTGCGTACTTGTCCGATGTCGGAATGTCTTGAATAAAAATGAAATCATCTGTACCACAGCATCTAAACGGGCATCCTGGATGTGGAAATCTTATCAAAGATGATATTAGTCAACCTAATGATAAAAATATTATTATGTAAGATAATGTGTTCTTACGTGTTGATCATTGTAACTGATTGAACATTTAAAGTAAAAGGTTAAACATACTTTATAACAAGTGCAAAGTATATCAACGAATTCTTCACCTATATGAATCCCAACAAGTGGTTCTCGATGCTGAAAAATTAAGCAAGCATTTCGTCCGTCTAAAAACAAATACACCTTCCAGAAAGAGTAGATGACAAGATGACTTAATGGTTGTAGAAAATCAACTTCTCCAATTTCAGCCTAGAATTATTAGCTAGCGTACGTTTAGGTAATGTTTATATTTCAGCTGCGAAACTTTTATTATATTTTCTCAGCAGATATGAAGGTGTGATAGTGGTGTAGGTCGTAACACTAGAAGGCTCAAACATTCATTTCCCGAGACAGATTTGAACAGAGGGGACAACAGAGCAACATTACACGAATCATATAAATGGAGATTTTGCTGCATTTCATCTGGTGCAAAACAAACCACAAAACAGCAGTCTATAGTAATAATAATAATAAATGCCCTTTTAATTCCTCTTTTATTTATTGAATATACAAATGTACAGTCAATATTCAGAAATGGGGGCCGCGACCATACAAAGACTGCCTGGGAAGACGGGCGGCGGTGGAGCAGTTCGAACCTGGGACTCCCGGGTCACAAGTTGGTGACCTAACCACTTGGCCACCACCGCCCTATGTTGTTTGAAAGACATTTTTATTGGAGACGAACCCGTAAAATTGATATAAAGTCATATGCACAATTTACAAGACGGGAATCTAACCTTGGCACAGATGTAAATCACACTGCTTTCAATGCGTGTGAGTGGTAACCTGCTGTTCTATCGTACTCTCGTGTAACTGATGTACTGTCAAATGATGCAGACTATTGTTTTCTGCCGTACTGTACCAGTTGAGATGCAGCAATATGTACCATGGTGTAAATGGTGCAATCTTGTTTCACCGTCTCCTCTTTTTAAAATCGAAACAGTATCATGGCTTTTAAACCCGAATTTCGCTAAGCTCCATAATATGGTCATAACGATTCTAGAACAAACAAGAGGATAAGGAAATATTTTCAGTAATTCGTTCAATAACCTGTATAGATCAAACAGGGATTCAAAGTGCTTTAGTGTCCGTCGTTTATTTGGCCAAAGGACATAAGTTTCTAACTGAGGAGAAAAATATGCGTGAGAATGAGTGAACTCTATTTCTGTCAGGCATTTCGTCTTGCACCACTTTTGGAAACAGATGGCCAGACGATGCTCGTGTTGCTGATTCTCGGTCGGGATATTTAAGTCAATTTCATCAAAAGTTAATCAGGTGCACGAAGCCTAATGAGAATCGCGTCAGCAGTGGCTAGTGGGTCAAACCGAATTGCTTTGAAGGGCTGAGGGCGTACTCAGTCGACAGAAGGTGTACTCCTTCGGGGGAACTGTGTCACATAGATGGTCCATTGGTGAGCACACTACTGCGCCCGTTGCGCCAATACTATAGTCAGCGTAGACAGTGCTCTTCAACCCTAGGAAACAGTGCAATCACTATATGAACAGTCTACCTGGAGGGCTATACAACCCCAACTATTGTACTATAATCTAATTTTAATTATGAATTATGTAAGCGGTGTCCACATTTTATTCAAAAATTTACGCGTTAGAGAATAAGTAAACTAGTCTTGTTCTTTGTTGGTAAGAATACGTGCTAAATAGGGTACCGAGGAGTTGCGACATATGTTCAGGTGTGAGGGAACACAACAGCTTCAGGATGTAGTAAATGGAATTGAAATTTATCTGCATGAGATCCATACAAACGTTTCACACACAGTCAGATGACATTCACACAGAGGGATAGAAAAGGCATGGCTTATGATGGTCAGTCAACGTCCAAGAAGCCTAAAGTTTTTCTTTAAGATAACAGACTAACAATAAATTAGCTCGAGGAAACACAATATTCGAGGAATTTGGAAACAGCCGACTGTTGAATTGGAGATTGACGAAGTTCACGGAAATTGATAGAAAGCCTTCGAGGTTTAGTGGTGATATTTTGAATATGATAACCTCTCCCAGCGGGTATTTATACAGCTCACCCGGGATTCTGGTTCAGAGCTAATCGATACCGGATCAGAGGAGACAGAAGAAATCGATCACGTAAAGAAATACTGGAAACATTTAGAGAGCTTTAGAGTAAGACTACAGTTAGTAGAAAATTGTTAAACTTTATCTCCAACGTGAAAAAGCTGTAGAAGATCTGAAGAATCGGATATGGTTTGACCTAAAGCGTATATGAGGAGGGAATTAGTTGTTAGCAAACAAATCGCTATTATACTTAAAAAGTAAGTATAGGGAAAGCAGTGCGTTTTGGGTTATCCCGGAATGGTTCACCAATGGTTCGGACCTCTTCGAACCTAGCTTGCTACATCTGGTTCTGCCAGAGAAGTTATCAGTAAACCAGACTAATAAGTGATTGGGCAACCAACGAGAGAACAGGAGATAGAATTAAAGGCAGATGAATGGTTTAAGCATTCACAAAATACAGGCTTCACATAACGATTCGAAGACTTGGTGATTTTGTACACAAAAGTGAACCTATTCTCAAATCAGTTGATCATTCAATGCTATACTTAGCGCTTTTGTTTATCTTTCATTTTCCTGATTTTATATATCACCCTGGGTTCAAATAAAAGATCACATTTATTCCGTTGGATGAGTCCGTGAACGAAAGGAACAGTGTGTTAAGGTAAACACCAAATAGGGCTCACTTTGAAGTCCGAGCGACAGTAGTGATACTATTACTAATATTACTCAAGTTTAACAATTTCGACATACATATTACATGAATACCATGTGAAACGATCGAGTCAGTTCCACGCTGTTTCGTTGTTTTCTTGACAATTCTAAACTACCTTCTCGTATAACTCCGTCCCAATACATCATCAGATGCAAGAATGCACATAAAAAGCGATTCGTTGTGCATAGGATCAATCACATTTACTAATCCATCACTGGTTGGCATGTCCAAAACAGTAAGAAACACGACGTCTCACAGGCAACATGTTGCGTGCAACCAACCGATATCGGTAAAACTCACTTGCGTCCGTCACAGTAAGCAAAAAGCACGAGTTTCCAGCCCGTGTTTGGCACAACACTTCGCAATTCACGGTACCTTTTGGCAGGAGATTCTCTTGCGCTTTTTGCAAAACTTCATTCAGGTCCGTTTTCAAATCCGTATACGTATACGGATAGCAATGGCTAATGTAACACAGATCGTCCGCATGCGGGAACGTCTAGAATGAAAGTGTGAATGTGGTGTGATTTATTCGTGACGGCACGATTGATAGTAAATAATAGGTTTTTTAAAATAGAGAATGTTTGGATTAGCCCATTCGGTTTTGCACCGGACACCGGACACTGTTGATGAGGTTCGGTATAACCGATTGGGTTAATCCAAACATTCTCCATCTTAATCTTTCCGGTAATGTTTAATGGAATTCGTTTTGTTTTTAGTGGAAGCCAAAATTTGCATA